TGTGTGTGTGTGTGTGTGTGTGTGTGTGTGTGTGTGTGTGTGTGTGTGTGTGAATGTGTACATGTCTGTACACATTTGTCAATGTGCGAGTCTGAACGTGTGCATCTGTGGGTCGATCTATGCACGTGCTCTTGTGGGTGGCTGGTTGGGTGTGAGCGTCCATGTGCATGCGTCGCCGTGCTTGTGCCTGTATGTTGGGAGGCGTTTGCTGTCTATGTTGTTCTATCATTCTGCCTGCTTTATTGTATGGCTGCTTTGTCGGTTTGGTTACCTGCGGGGCTTGCATTCCAATCCAGGTGAACGACTTGCTCACGGGGAAGGAGAAATGGGGGGAGAGAGTTCTGAAGGCGGAGCTTGCAAGGGCTGCTGTCGGGCTGCTGTCGAGCGAGAGCTTGCTGAGGCAAAAGCTGCTGCAAGGGCCTCGAGGTACTGCACTTGGTTGGATCTATCACTCGGGCATTTGTCATGTGCACTGCCGATGCCATCTGTTTCATTTCAAAACACTTGTTAAAATTTTTATTGTTTGAACTCGTAAACGCAGGCAGCCCTGCAGGTTATTGTATTTTCAGGATCTCATTAGGATTTGAACTTGTGACCTGTTCATCTGCAATTATTACATGTATGCCATTGCATCTACCATTCAGCTAAGCTGCCAGTATGCACCAGTTTGTCTGTCTGGCGGACTGTCGGGACCTGGATATCCGTCCATTTTTTTTTTTTTTATTGTTCCTTGCTTGGAATTCTGGGGAGCGTCGATTTTTTTTTTTTGTTGTTTTTTTGTTTTTTTTTGTTTTGTTTTGTTTTTGTTGCTCCACCGCAGTGGAGGATTAACTGTCAGCTTGCCCATCCTCTCTCATTCCTCTCAGACCGGACGAATAGGTCTACCAAGTTGCATTGCTGAATCCTAGAAAGAGACCCACTATTGTGAACATCAACCTGAGCCCTTCCCCTTCCACCTGTTTTTCCTTTTACCTGATCAAGCACTAAACCCTGAACCGTACACCCTCATTCTTCTTGACGGCTCCCCGATATACCATTCCCACTTACGGATCTTCTTACGGTCCTGGCTCCTTCTATTCTGGGGAGCATCAGTCCGGTTCCTATTCCACCGGCAAGTCAATTTAAAAAAAAA